TTTCGGCTTCGTCTCTACGATAATATAAGATCGTACTTGTATTATGTTTCGTATTCTATCTCAATATGTTACTTGCGTATTAATCTAATGTATTAGCAAACATATTGTATGCTATCTCAACCGATCTATCGTGTTCTATTTTTTGTTACTTGCGTATTGATCTAACAATACGATAATTAGAATTAGTTTGTTTCGGTTCGTCAAATAGAAATTTGTGCATTTCAACTCGCATGTCATGTTTTTATTTCATGTTTGCATATTCGTATAAATAAAACTAAAATCATTTTGCATTAGTTCATCAAATAGAAATTTATCTCAAACTCGCTTATCATGTTTTTATTTTATGTTGCTTAACTTATGTATTGATCGAATTAAAGTAAAATCATTTTGTGTTTTATCAAGTAAAAATTTTGTTTGTTGTTTGCATGACAAAATTAGAATCATTTTGTATATTCATCAAATAAATATTTATATGGTTTTTGTGTCCTATCAATACTTTTTTTTCATATAGTTAATTTTTCAAGCATTTTATTTGTTATTTTTCATGCAATAACATAAATATGTATAAGTTTATGTTATGTTATTTTATGAAAAAAAAAATGTAATATTTTTATTGTACTAAATTAAAAAAACTATATAGTAATATATATTATTGCGATTTCATCAGTATATTAATAAATAAAATTTTTAATTTTATTAAATTAAATAGTATAAATAAATTACCATTATTTTACTTAAATATAAATCGATATTTTAATTAATTTAAACATTTAATTAATTCAATATGTTTATCATTTCAAATTTAGTTCGGTAATAATTTTTTTTTTTTTTTTTTTTTTTTATGACAGGCAGTGTAAGTAATGAACTGTGAGCTTAGGAGAGGTTGTGCAAAGAAAAGGGGAGGCATTTATTTTTTATTTCACTTATTATTTTTGGGGTAATTTAAAAAAAAAAAAAAAAAGGTTAAAACTTTTATAAGGGTAAATACTAATTTTAGTAATATTAGGGATAGATGTATACAAACTTTTGGATCTATTTTAATAGATTATAATATTAAAAATCCCGATAATATGAGTGCAGGTCATCCGATCCCTTGATAAATTTGTAACTATTTTATATACGAAACCATATTCTTTTAGTATTTTAGGAATAATAAAAATTTATTTTTATTTTAAAAAAAAATAAATCTTTTTTTGTTTTAAGAAAATTATTTGCTCATATGTCCATTTTATGATTATGTAAGCACTTAAAATAGTCAAACATTGGGAGCTACGAGGAGGGATTATCAATAATTGAAAAGGCTTTTTTTTTATACTTAAAAAATAAATAATTGAGAATGATGTAATGTCCAATTTGATGGCTGTTAAAGGTTATATAAATTATTTATTTTTTTAAATACAATGTAATATATAGAAAAAAAATTAAAAGCTAAAATTAAACTTATTTCTTTAATATAAAAATAAATTTTATTTTTAATCTTTTAAACACAATTTCATTTTAGTATTATAAAATTTGCTCATATGTTTTCTTCAATTCTTTGAATAAAATATTAGTTTCCTACAATTGGATTTTTTTTATTTTAAAAAAAGAATGATTTTCTAATAAATAGATTTCAACTAATGATATAAAATTAAATTTTATTTTATTGTTAGATTTTTAAAGCCAAAAATTTATACCTTATAATACTTGGGTGTACATACATACTTGTAACGCTCCATTTTTTTTTTCTTTAACGGCGCAATATAAGACAATCTCATGACCCAACACGCAAGTTTCATGTCAAATCAAATCACACGTAAAGAAAACTTGTCCACACTTCATTATTCAAACCCCTACAGCAGACATCATCCATACTAACATAAACTTTTACACACTACAATCCGCCCACAAAAAAAATCTTTGCCTTCTGGCGCTAAGACTAGGATCAAGAACCAGCAACTCAGATCCCGGCTCCATCCCTACTTTATCTGTTAATGATAAAAAGTGAATTCACATAACTCAATACAGTAAAAAAATCAAGTTACAGGTATAATATGCAATAACAAAAATTCAGTGTGTCTATATGCATTTCATCTACACAACCTAAGTCCTGCCTTAACACCACCCTAAAACTACACCAACCCAACTTGTTCCGGTAAGTTAGTTATATTACATACTAAACGTGACCGCCTTCCGAAGTCACACCATGAGCACACATGTTCTCAACCATCACCAACATCGGCAATCAATACTCAATCTTCTACCTCTCGACCCTAATAGGCTACACACACACACAGATACCATTCTCTCACGTCACCAACATCGGCGACCAATACTTAATCTTCTACCTCTCGACCCTAATAGGCCACACACACACACAGATACCATTCTCTCACGTCACCAACATTGGCGACCAATACTTAATTTTCTACCTCTTCTCACATCACCAACATCGGCGACCCAACTCCTTACCCGTCGGGGTCTCCAAACCATCACCACTATCGGCGATCAACCTACTCTTTCTAGATAGCAACACCAATATCGGTGTCCCCACCCAAAACTACCACTCACGGACCACACCATCCCGTACTCGCTTCACCATGTTATCTTGAGACTCCCCTATTCGTTTACCCGGTATACCGACCCTACATAATACTTCACGTATGACACACCCTAACATTTCACACATACGTCGGCAATGTTCCCTCGCCAACCCTTAAATTTACAGCAGCTATACCAACCTATATCCCACCCCCATATTCACACCACACAACTACCAACACACCCTTACTCCCACACCTTAAACCATGCCTTACAGGCCCCTCCTTTACTTTCCCAATTTCTAGCATCTACACTCTCCCCACAGTCATACTGAGCCTCTTCCCTCACCCAAATCTCTTCATATACACCGAACTCCTCTTCCACAACCCACTCTATCACACAGTCATGAACTTTCCTCTCCCTTACGGACCTCACACCCTGCTTCCCTTCTTCTTCTACCTCCCAAGGCCTGTGCGAAACATCTCCACTCACACAGTCACCATCACCAACTCTCATGGAACCCTCACCGAATGCATTCTTCCTTCTATCTCCTCTCGCGGCTTCCTCCGCACACCCCGCTTGCACACACACAAACTCTCCCTGTCATCCCGAATCTCACACACTCACCAACCTCCTTGTTCACTCTTTCTTCCCACGACCTTTCTTCCTCCGTATACCTCGCTCGTACACACACAAACTCCCTTCGTCATCCCGGATCTCACACACTCACCAACTTCCTCGTTCACTCTCTCTTCCCGCAACCTTCACTATATGCTTACGCTCATTTTACACAAAACATCCACCCTCTCCCACGGACCTCTCCTACTCTCCAACATCTTCATTCTCTCTCTTCCCTCGGCCTCCTCCGTGAACGTCTCCACTGTTAAACCTGCAATCCACACCGCCTACCTCTACACCTCAGCTCAGTCACATTACACACTAACTAAAATCTGGATTTCTCAACCTACAACCCAACATTTCGAAATCACACCACACCTATAACAAGAACTCAAAAATTTTTACCGTACCTCCTATCTCCATCTTCCTTCCTCCCGTAGCTCGCACTGTTCCGGTCCTCCTTCCTGTTCACTCACTTTCCTCATTTCTCTTCCTGCCCCCGATCTCTCTCTTCTCTGTTTTCTTTCTTTTCTTCTCTTTTATTTTTCTTTCCCTTCTCCTATTTATACCCCACCAGCCTCTCATCCTGCCCGTCCATCTCACCTCATCCCAACCATCCATTTTTCCTTCTCCAAAACAACGTCGTTCCTTCCTCTACTTCTCCAAACTATGTCGTTTCCTCCCCCTCTTCACCAAACGACGTCGTTTCACCCCTAAGATTCCCACCCTACCTATACATCCATACATACATACAAATTTCCTCCCTTTTCTGTTTTTTTTCTTTATTTTCAGTTATTACAATATTAGAATCCCATTGTTCTTATATCGCCTTACATTTTATGCATATATATGTGTATATATATGGCAATATAAGAAATGGGTACTCATAAAATGCCACCTAAATTAAAGTATAAAATTATTACTTTTTTCTGAAAATATTAAAATATAACATATAATTAAATTGATGAGCAAAAGAAAAGTTAGTGGGATCCTAATGTAGTTTGCACCCAAATTTGTGCATGTGATTTTCATGATGAATCACAAGCAAAAAGCCAGAGTTTCTTTATATATATATATATATATATATATATATATATATATACAAGAGACCCACTTAAGAATTAATTTGTCAGTGAATATTATTAGCTGGAACTGTTTTCATTTATGTTTATTTACTCCAGAAACAAAGAGAGTACTGACATATATATATATATATATATATATTAATTAATGTATACATGAAACTAAAAATTAATTAATTATAACAATAATAATAATAATAATAAAATCCCATTTTAACATTTTAAATAATAATAATAAGGTGTCCCCAGTTTTCCATTATTATTATAAAAAAAAATGTAAATTTGCCACCATATTCTCTTTTCTTCCCCAATATTTTGCATGGTCAATAAAGGTAACAATTTAAAAAAATAGTAATAATAATAATAATAAATAGTTACATTTGATTTTAATTTAAATAAAAAATTATGTATTTTAATAATTAAATGATATTTGTACATTAATAATAATATAATTAATTTTTTTATAAGTAAATAATACAATTAATTCAACTGGAATACACAATTTTATTAAAAAAATAAATAAATAAATAAATAAATAATTTCAATAAAAAAAATATTAAATGACATATTGAAATTTAATCCAAAATATTTAACCAAATTATTTTCTTTATTCTGGGAACCTAACACTTTGCTGGTCTTGGCTATAATACTAATTAAAATTAAGAGACACCTAACAGATTGCCTCCTCCATTAACTAATTGAAATCCAATATTTAAACCCTTAAAAAGAAAGATAAGAAGATAGTTCAAGTTCACACCTTTATAGGATCCTTCCTTGACCTTTTCAAAAAAGATTAGATTAAATTGTGAAAAAGAAAATTGGAGATAAAAGAGATTATGAAGAAGTTAATTAAATAAATTGGGGAACTTTTGGTTTTCACTAATGGATATCCTACAAAAAGGAGATGACTAAAGAGACTTTTGTCCTTGTAGCTTTGTGTTTGATTGGAATCTCAGTGGGGACTTCCCTCTTTTCTTTCCTTTCTCCACAATCCATCAAAATGAACAATTGACAAGGTACTATTTCCTTGAATTGTATGTATTGCCATCCAATGTGCTGCTCTGGGTGACTTTTCGCTCATTTGATGGAGCTAAAAAGCGCCTAACTTTGCCCGGGATGAAACCGATTCGCCTATGTTGGAACTCTCCGGGAAACTCTAGGCGTAGGCACAACAACATCGCGGCCTGCTTTCATCAACTTTTGATGATCCTCTATTGTTTTGTCAAATAATCTGTTTTCTGGATTTTCAGCATAGCAAACATAATAACAACTCACACAAGCATGTGGCAGTGCCATTGAAATCCTTGTCTGCACAATTGGTTATTTTGTTAATCAGAAAGCTGAGACATAAAGATTAAACAATGCCCAAGTTGATTTTGTTAATCAGAAATCCTTTACAACATATACGCACACATGGACATATATATATGTATATATATGTAAAGAATATTAGATTAATATGGTTAACCAGTCATGAAATAAGTAGTACTAACCATAAGGTATCCAATGTAGAAAGTAAGGAGGGATAATGTGGCTGTGAAGGGCTGGTAGACTGTTGTAGTCCAAGCAGCAACCACAATTACACAGATTGAGCCACTGCAAACTCCGGTGAGGAAGCAGATTGAGCTGGTGATATCAGAGTCAACAATTGCTTGCATTTCCCGTCTCTCGATGAGAGCCCAAGTGTCTTGTGATGCTCGTACGAACCCTTTTCCATATGCAGCTATCTACAACAATTGTTTCCGATGAAGGGCTTAGCCAATTTATTAGAATAGAAAGATTAACATCTTAAAGAAACCCTAATATTACAAGGCTATTAAAAGAGGATTCTTGGAAATTTAAAGTTAGTTAAATCAAATAAAACACTCTTCAGTAGAAGCTAGCCTAATAAAAGATTCATCAGGAAAAATAAAAAGAAAACGAAAGTGAAAAACTCAAATGGTTGTTGAATGAAAAGGACATGTTAGCAATAGCCCCAGAAGTATATAATGACATGATTATGACTTTTTTTTTAGACTTTCCCTAGTGGAGACCTTTTCTTAAAACATGGAAAATGAACACTTCCAATCCATGAAATGTAACAAAAACAAAAGAAATTTTTATCAGTAACTATATACCTGCACATAAGCCCAACCATTGCCATAATTGAAGATGGATTCCATGACACTAAGACAGCAATGAGCACAAGAAAACATGAACTCATCTTCTCCCTTGAGCAAGTTCAAAATCCTGGCGACTATCCTCAAGACTTCAATCGTTGGCACAAAGAGAGATCCCAAACATGCACTTCCAAGATTTCGAGTCAAAGCCCTATGAAAGCAAAACCTAGTACTAGACTGCATACCTCTGAGATAATATAGAGCAATTACCCGGCTAACTGTTAAATTGGCTACATTCCTCATGACTTCTGCAATCCAGGCCAAGCTCAGTACCAGTAAGATTATTGTCAAAGGTGAAAAGTAGAAGTTCAAGGCTCCAATCACAGCTAAAATCCATAAAGACATCCACATAAATCCAACACCAAGCATCCAATAAGTAGGCTGATTCAAATCTGGGAACTTTGAAACTGGTTCTAGAGATTTAACTAAAACCTTACAACAAAACTTAGTTCTTTGATTAATCCAACAAGCATACAAGCCACTGCCAATTGCAAAGACCATGAAACAAACTCCAACGCCATCAGTAGGAGGTTTTTGGAGGCAAATCAAGAGGAGGCCAGCGGATAAAGGCAAAAGAAAACCACTCCAAGTTATGACATGAACCATGATAGTGGGCCACATTCTTACTGCCTTTTGCCAAGCAAATGCAAGAGTAATGCTCAAGAGTGATGCAGCTTCAACTTGGGGCAAGAAATGGGTAAGTAACCTTTGCTCCTTCCTCTTAACGCTGGTTGCTGATCCTACTAGCCCTTGAATCCCCTTGAACACCAGAAAACAGACTACGGCTTTGGCTATAATCACATGAAGCACAAACAGAAATAGAGATATCTTGTTTGTGTACCTAGTTGAATTCAATGATGATAGTGTTTGCTGCCCACAGAAAGAAAACAAGAACCCACCAAAACTACATTAATAACTGGGAATTTGTTTTGAAGAAAATATAACATATCTTTTGACTTTTTTTGTACCTGAGAGAGAGTTAGAGAGATGAAGAATCAGCTCAAAAGAAGAAAAAATTCTTGATTGTTCATTTGAAGAATCAAGACTATAAATAACCCACTGAGAAAGTGAAAAATTTTCAGACCAACCAGCTCGTGTTTTTTATGGGGAAAAAAGGGTACAGTTGACCTGAGAATCAGGCAGGAATCTATATTTTTTTAGGATTCTTCATAAACATGGTCCATGTTAGTGAATATCTCTGAATATCTCAATAACCAGCTTAAAAAATCAACTAAAAAAATAAACCCAGCTGCTTTTTTTCTTTTGAGAATCCTCTCCTAGAACTTACTTGAGGGGTAGGCGTGGAGCGAGACCGATGAGAAGAGCGCTGAGGAGGGTGAAAAGGCTGAGAAGGAGAAGGTGTAGAGACTCTGGCGCCGCCATTAACGACAATCCTTAAAGGGTTTGTTGGATTCAACCTATGCAACATTGACACATGATCACTTCTCTCCACCATCACCTTCTCTTCCACTGTAGCCACTTCTCCTTTCTCCACATCTTTCTCTTCTTCTTCTTCTTCCTCTTCTTTTTCTTCGTCTTCTTCTTCTTCTTCTTCTTTGTCTTCGTCGTCTTCTTCTTCTTCTTCCTCCCCTGTTTTTCCTTCTCCATCTCCATCTCCTTCTTTTTTCTCCTTATCATTCTCTCTCTCTCCTCTCTCTTCACTCTCTCTCGCTACCACCTGCAACAAAACACAAACAACATTTAATCCTCAACAAATTCTCCATCTCTACTTGTCTAACATAAAATATCTTCGGCTCAAAGAAAAAGAAACGGCTAAAAATGAAACAGAGAAGGAACCCAAAAAAAAGAGCTTATATAATCAAAAGGGACTGTCTTTTTTATCAGCTTACAGGCTCCATGGCACCCATGACGGAGGTGCTGACGTCACTTCCCGACGACCTCGGTCGGCGGCGTAATCGTCTGAAACGTTGGATATTCT